AATGGGTATCAACCAGTCAGATGAGATCTAGCGGAACCCTAGTGATACACAGAGAAACAAAGCCAAAGCTCGAATCTGTTCAAAAGACGGAATCAGTATCTCAAAGACGAACCACAGTGATCCTTCAATGGCGGACAAAAATAAAAAGAGAGGAGATAATCTAGGGTTTTATTTAGTTTTTTTTCTTACTCTTTTATTACAGAGATGAGATGAGAAGAAAGGAACAAATCGGAGATGAAATTACTGAGAGAGAGAGAGTTCCCGCTATAAACAACAACAACACATAGACAGTTCTCCATAGCCCAATCTCATCAAAAGCCATAAGCCTCTCAACAAAACACACACGCACTCTCTGTGTTCGAACCCAACCGCAACGGCATCGTTTCTGCTCTTTGGCGGGGATCTAAATGGGCCTTCGCTTAACCCATTGGGCTTATATGCTTTAAACCCGAACACGTGTAATCAAAACTCAGATTAATAGGTAACGTATCAAATAAATAATAAAATTTTGTCTGTCTGTTTCTATTATATGTTGACACTGCCCTGACAGTCGTCGTGTCTATATTTATTCCAATTGTAATAATACTTTTAAAAAATATAGTATATATTAAGTTCACTGAATCTTGAAATTAATATGTTTGGTACGTTTACATTGAAGTTTATACTGACTAATTTTTGACTTTTTCGTTAACGTGAGAATATAATGAGATAGTCAGTATTTATTTCTTTATTTTAGATGAAAAATATTGAAATAAATAGCTATGTTTTTTTGCGTAAAGACCATGCATGTTAACACAACAATACTAGTAGCTATTTAAATGACAAACTTTGGGTTGAACTGTAATTAGAATTGTTAATAAACATAAAAGTTGGACGATTATATTGTAAGGATATATTATAGAAATGACCACCAGTTGGTACTTGCATTGAGGTGGTTCAAGCTACCTCTACTGATGAAGATGCGTTTGGGAGTTTCGTTGAAGCTAGGAAGTTGCTACAAGCTAAGCAGATATATTTGTTGTTGGATTCTGAGATATTCATGATAAAAGGACACATTATAAGCACACTAAAACGTGGACAAAGCTCAAATACAACTTCATTCATAGAATAAATCGGTAACGCTCCACGGGCGAGGGGAGCCTGTATCCGTAGATATCACCAGTGTACTGCCAATTTGAGAGGGATTGATTAATTTACTCACAAGGGATCCTGGAGGAGGATCGCGTAACTTACGGGCAAGATGCCTATCGTATAAATTTGTTTACTCGTGAAAATGGAGTTTTCATGGAAACGTTTAAAAGATTTGGCATATTCTTTCTTCTCAATTTTTACAGCTGTGGTATCATAAAAAATAAAAAATTAGTCACATGTGAGATGGATGATATAGTGTGCATGGTTGCTCTTACGTACAAATTAGGTGGTGCACAAAAGAAGAAGAAGAAGAAAAAGACACGATTGACAATTTGACATCATCATCTTCTCCCTTGTCCTGCAAGTAACCAGTCAGATGGATTCCTCTATCACCAACCAGTCAACCACCTTGAATTCAATCGAGCCATCATCACATTCAAACAAAAGGCTCACAGGGCTTGATTCTACAGTACGATCGACTGAGCTCTTGTCGTCTCTGAGCTCGGATGAAAGAGTGAGTGAGTCGTCGAGGTTACATAGCTATCTCGTCTCATGTAATGACGTAGCCCTCATTCAATGATTGAGTTGGGCCCTATCGAGACATACAAAAAGAAAAAGACGCCCGGCCCAATAACATACCGCTTCAACTACATTTTTTATTATAGTTTTAAAGGTCACGTGCCATTTAATCGGCACACGTGTTATATCTAACAAGATAATGTAACCGCATCGTGTTTGCTCTTAGGCGGGGATCTAAATGGATGGGCCTTCATAACCCATTGGGCTTATATTCATAAAACCCAAACACGTATAACTAAAAAACTTCTTTGATAAATCGGTTGACGGACCAAATAAATAAATAAAATTTATGTATGTCTGTCTGTCTCTATTATATGTCGACAGCTGTGTCTGTATTCGATCCAATTGTTATTAAAAAAGAAATTATATTAAGTTCACTGAATCTTGAAAAATGTTTGGTACGTTTGCAATGAAGTTATTAATAATATTATTGACTTAAAAAATTATCGCTTATAAAGTTTATTTTGAATTTTTCGGCTTATAAGACATGGTCCGTATCATCAACTTGTAACTATAAAAAATAAACTACGTATTTTTAAAAAAAAATTTGTCAAATACTTTTTGTTTCTTTTTCCCTAGATGCTTATAGTTCACACACGTTAGTGCTTCAACGTGTGAGATAGTTGCGTTTGCATTGTAACGAAAGAAAATAAATAAATATACATAGTCTTAGTCTGTCGCTTTATTCTTTTATTTATTTTTAGATGGAAAAAATATCGAAATAAATATTTATGAAGAAATTTTGGACCATTTTTGGATTTATGCATACTATTTATATGAAAGGTCGGTTAAATCTGCATGTTACCACGATAATAGTACTACCGAAAACTATTTTTGTGACAAATTTTGGGTTAAATTGTTATTGGAATTATTAATCAACTAAAACATTCGACAATGTTTTGTTTTTTTTTTGTTTTCTAAAAAGAGGATATGTTATGAAAATTACCACCATTTGGCACTTGCCACTTGTTCTCTATGATTGGTGGATGAGTTTGCATTTTGTTCTCTATGAATACTTGATTATAGTATTATTTTTGTTTTTTAAAACGAGTTGGAGTACGTAGAATTAAACATTTAAATTCAGTGATTGGTCAAGTTCAAGTGCTTTTACACTAGGTATTTGTGTTCAATTAACAAAATAATTAAAAACAAAAAAATACTATGGATTATACGTTTGGAACTTGAGTATAGATACCAAAACATCTAAACTCCAGAAAACCTATCCGACGACCGGTCTGGACTAGCCTCGGTCCAGCACAATGATAATTATATTTATTCATAAATCATACTAACTATGTACTATCACAGGATGTTATAACATATATATATATATTCTCAAATTTGATTTGTTTACTTTGATGTTACTGTGTGTTGTCAGGCACACACAATAGGTCATTACAGAGTAATGGTCTAATTAGCTACTAGTGTGATTAATTTATCGGAAATGTGTTTGTTTATCTGTCGTTGTTTTTAGGAGATGAGAGGTGGCAACTCCCAATATCTTTTGGGGGTCATCTTCAATGTCCTCTCAGATCTCAATTATTGAGTTTTCTTTTTTCTTTAAAGTCATGTTTGATTCTTTCTTCTCTCTTTTTTTCTTTCGTCAACTTCCCTTCATATCTAATATAGTAGTATTCTATATAATGTTTTTAAGGTGTCTCTTGAGAACCCGAACATGCGATAAACAAAATTTACATTACTGTATTAATATGATTTGTATACGTACTCCCTTAGTTTTTTTTATTAGATGCATTAATGTCTCAAATATATATTAAAAAATAGAGTTAAAAATTATGAAAGTAGCCAATTTTAATCAAAACTAGGAATATTATCTTCTAGTATTTCACTATTTAAGTGATTTTTGTTTGTTCAAATGTTCACCTACTTTCAAGATGAGAGATTTGAACAATATATGCAACGTGTTATATATAACATGTATTGCATGAATTAAAATCTGGATAACAGTACAACACATGGATGCATATATACACTCGCAAATACCTACATATATTGTAGTCAATTTGTAGCATTTGCTTATATAGTTCGTATTTTGAATTATAAACTGATCATATATATGTATATGGTGAAATACTGAAACGCATCAAACACGCTACATGATACTCATAAAAATTGACTCAAAAGGCATTAAAAGAAGAATTAAAAGATATGTTATCCTCGTAGTTATCCTCAAATCCTATCTTTGATTCGGTTGTTTTAGGATTTATAATGCACTTAGGTAGTCAACAAAGCTGGATTAAGTAATTAAACTCGTAAGGCCGTTGGATACTAACACTGATGATGATGACGCATAATCCTGTTCTAGTGGATATATAATCATATTTAAACAAATATTATTAATTTGTTACACTCACTGGGGGCACAATAATGCAGTTTGTCACTACAAAAAAATTGATTTGAATAATATTTTATAACTAGTAATCATATCACTCAACTAATCACCAACAATGTCTCCACTTAGACTACAACATTTTTTTTTATTTCTTTCTCCAACAATCCATATAGCACAAACAAAAAAGAAGAGCTTGTCACAATAATCTCGAATCCTTTAAGATATTAGCCAACGAATATAAACACAAAGCTACAACAGAGTTTGTAAGTGTTAAGAAGACATTGCTACCTATGCGACACATACAAAAGCATATATGTGCACACTTTGTTTATGATGTATTGTGATCAACCTTTAACTACCAAACGATATATAAAAACTAGTACTAAAATACATTGCTAAACTATACATATAAAATTAAGTGACCCATCACATCACAATTATAATTGCTACCAAAGATATCAAACGAAATATGCAACATCTGTTTTGTTAAATATAATAGTTGTAGTTGCTTGTACAAGACCCATTGTTTCGAAATTTGGTTTATTACATGGAGACCGGCCAGTAATACAACAATATAAATAAATAAAAAAAACTTATTTTCCAACAATAATTATTAATATGCCAATTGAATGATACTATAAGAAAGCTTTTAATAATTTATTTAAATAACAAATGGGTTTGTGTTGTCGTTGATAAGCACATGTAACACCACGATAAGCACGCATAAAAATTGTGTAAAAGAGAAGACGAGAGAAGAAGAAGAAAAGAAACAGTTTTTTTTGTGTGTAAATTATTAGATGAAACCTATAATTAATGAAAAATAAGTAATAATAATAAGATAGAGGGAGAGAGAGTGGGGGGGATCAGGTAGTATCTAGTTCAGGCTCGTTCTCTCTTATTATTTTTCTTTTAGCTCTCTCATTCACTCACCCACGAACCTTCCCCCCCACCCCTAACATCAATCTTCTTCTTACATAAACACCTCTCATTCCCACCGTTCCCAAAAGAGAAAGCTTTTCACAATAAAAACACAAACACAAACTCTGTTGTGTAAGTAAAAATAAAAGATTGGTTTTTTCTTTATAATATTGTGAATGAAATGGGGGAGCTTTTGTTGTGTCGTCCACTATTGAATCCATCAATCTCATCGTCTCCATCCATTATTGCTTATCTCAAAAGGTATTCTCTGGGTTCTGATTCTTAGAGGTCCTCTGTTCTTCAAAGTTGGCTTCTTTGAATGTAATTTGTAGCTAAAAAAGGGGATATTTTTGTTTTTAAGATAGAAAAGATTTCGATATGTATATCTCACGGATGGGTTTGAGTCGGAGTTTCCCGCCGCTTTTTGGGGGATTTCGGGAAATTCTAGGGTTAGGGTTGGATATTGTGTTTCTCTAGCAGTCTTCTACTTATAACATCTCTTCATCTTGAGATTGAAAGAGGTCTTTTTTTTTTTTAATTTGTTTTCTGGGAATCGAGATTTGGGATCTTACTCGATATGTGGGTTAATTGGGAGATCTGGGATTTGGGAGATCTTGTGGAGGATTGAAAGAAAAAAAAGCTTTTATAGATATAACAGAAATGGACAACAAGTGAAGAAGGTGAAGTGTTTTTTGTGAAATGAAAGGTTCTATTCTTACTGTTTTGTCAATGGAGAATCATCATCCTTCTACGCTCTTATCTATGGATTCCAGTGGTTCTTCGCATGAGGAACTTGATCTGGAGATGAACAATGGTAATAGGCAAATCACTCTTTACAATCCACCAGACATCAATCTCCCTTTGTCTGTCGGACGAAGCTCTCCTTCGTGGAACTTGGATTCTTGTGATAACATTTTGGATGTTGGTCTGAGCTCTCATGTCTACGAGACCGAGACGTTTCTCAATGTGGTTCCCAGTAAAGTCGCTAAGAAATGCTTGAAGCGAGGTGATAGTATGTGGGGAGCTTGGTTTTTCTTTAGCTTCTACTTCAGACCTGCGTTGAACGAGAAATCAAAGTCTAAGGTCATTAGGGAAACTAGTAATGGCGGAGGAGCAGGGTGTTTTACTGGGTTTGATAAATCTGATCTCAAGCTGGATGTTTTTCTTGTTCAGCATGATATGGAGAACATGTATATGTGGGCTTTTAAGGATAAACCCGAGAATGCTCTCGGGAAAATGCAGTTGAGAAGCTATATGAATGGGCATTCCCGTCAGGGCGAGCGTCCCTTTCCCTTCAGCGCGGAGAAAGGGTTTGTTCGGTCTCACCGAATGCAGAGGAAGCATTACAGAGGACTCTCTAACCCTCAGTGTCTTCATGGGATCGAGTTTGTGCCTTCTCCCAGTTTGTTGTGTGTCAGTGAAGAAGATAAGAAGAGATGGATGGAGCTGACCGGTCGAGATTTGAAGTTCACTATCCCTCCTGATGCTAGTGATTTCGGTTCATGGAGAAATCTTCCCAACACGGATATTGAGCTTGAGAGACCGCCTCATGTTACAAAACCGGCACTAAATAACGCCAAGAAGATTCTCAGTGGATCGGGCTTACATTTGACAAGTAATGCGTCATTCAGTAGCAATGGGGACTCTTCTGATCAATCTCCAGGTGGGGGAGTCAACAACAACAACAAGAAGAGAAAAGAGTTTTTATCTCCTGGAAGCAGCGAAGAAGAATGTTGTTTGACTGTTAACAACATTGAGACCCACCATGCCAAGGACCCTCCCAGTTGGGTAAACGACTTCACTGGAGTGATGAAGAATAGCTGCGGACCCGTCACTGCAGCAAAAACGGTGTACGAGGACGAAGAAGCTTATCTGGTTGTAATAACTCTTCCATTTGTGGATTTGAACACCGTGAAGGTTTCATGGAGGAACAATATCACAAATGGGATCGTGAAGGTCACAGCATTGAGCACTTCGAGAGCTTCGTATGTGAAGAGACGGGACCGGACTTTCAAGCTGGTTGATCAGACGGCAGAGCATTGTCCTCCGGGGGAATTCATGAGGGAGATACAATTGCCAAATCGGATTCCGGAAGAAGCAAAGATCGAAGCATATTTTGATGGGACTGGACCAGTTTTAGAGATTGTGGTTCCAAAATTGAGAGGAGGAATGGAGGAAGAACACGAGGTTAGAGTTTGTCTACGCTCACACCACCTCGGATAGAAGATGCAACCATCTTTTTGTAAGAGCATTTTGTTGTACAATGGGAAAATAAGCAGAAGCAAAAGCACAAGTGCTGTTTTTTAATTATAACTTTTTCACTTTAGTTTTTCGTCTTCGGTTGCAATATGTATTTTATTCTTCAGAGCAAGTTGTATTTAACAATAGTTCAATTTGATTAGTATACAAGGTTTTTTGTTTCCCATGTAAAATAAAGTAAAGCATTCATTCATAATGTAATTGTCTTATATTATTGTTAGATTTCATTTTATTAGACAAAAGAGTAGTTTTATCGTTTTGTCTCCTACTCAATCCACCTTTTAGTTGTATAGCCTGTGAAGAATTCGACACGCATAAGTTCAACTAGAGAAATTTTCATTAGAAAGTACCAAAGAGAAATTACTCATTAACCAGAATCATAAAGAGAAAGGGTCACCAGAGAAACAAAGAGAAAGTACTTGGGCTCAAACAACACAAACAAAGACAAAACATAAAAACAAACACCAATGAGAGAGTTCATATTTAAAGAAAACATGACTAAGAGAGAACTTAGTCGACTTCCTCGATCTTGGGGCCAGCACCACCTGAGGCAGGAGGAGCTTCATCTTCGTCCATTGCAGCAGCTCCAGGACCACCAGCTCCTCCTTGATACATCTTAGCGATGATCGGGTTACAAAGACCCTCCAACTCCTTCATCTTGTCTTCAAACTCGTCAGCTTCAGCCAACTGGTTACCATCAAGCCATTGGATTGCCTCCTCAATCGAGTCCTCAATCTTCTTCTTCTCTGCAGCCGGAAGCTTCTCACCGATCTTCTCGTCACGGATGGTGTTCCTCATGTTGTAAGCGTAGTTCTCAAGAGCGTTCTTGGCATCGACCTTCTTCTTGTGCTCCTCATCCTCCGACTTGTACTTCTCTGCCTCTTGCACCATCTTCTCAATCTCGTCCTTGGAGAGACGACCCTTGTCATTGGTGATGGTGATCTTGTTCTTCTGTCCGGTGGTCTTGTCCTCAGCAGAAACGTTGAGGATACCGTTGGCATCAATGTCAAAGCAGACTGTGATCTGAGGGACACCACGAGGAGCTGGAGGGATTCCGGAGAGCTCAAACTTACCGAGAAGGTTGTTGTCCTTGGTTCTGGCTCTTTCACCTTCGTAGACTTGGATCAACACGCCAGGCTGGTTGTCCGAGTAAGTGGAGAAGACCTGCTCCTTCTTGGTGGGGATTGTTGTGTTTCTCTGAATCAAAGTGGTCATGACACCACCAGCAGTCTCAAGACCGAGGGAGAGAGGGGTGACATCAAGCAAGAGAAGGTCTTGAACCTTTTCGTTTCCTTCACCGCTTAGAATTGCAGCCTGAACAGCTGCACCGTATGCAACAGCCTCATCAGGGTTGATAGACTTGCAGAGCTCCTTGCCATTGAAGAAATCTTGGAGAAGCTGTTGAACTTTGGGGATACGGGTAGAACCACCGACAAGGACAACCTCATGTACCGAGTTCTTGTCCATCTTAGCATCACGGAGACACTTCTCAACAGGCTCCATACACTTCCTGAAAAGATCCATGTTAAGCTCTTCGAATCTAGCACGGGTAATTGGAGCATAGAAGTCAAATCCTCCTGCCAGAGAGTCAATCTCGATGGTCGTTTGTGCGGTGGAAGAAAGAGTTCTCTTTGCTCTCTCGCAAGCTGTTCTCATCCTCCTTAGAGCTCTAGCGTTACCGGTGATGTCCTGCTTGTTCTTCCTCTTAAACTCTTGAACAAAGTGGTTAACCATCCTGTTATCGAAATCCTCACCACCAAGATGAGTATCTCCAGCAGTAGCCTTGACCTCGAAGATACCTTCTTCAATAGTAAGAAGAGAAACATCAAAAGTACCACCACCAAGATCAAAGATCAACACGTTCTTCTCTCCAACGCTGGTTGCCTTCTTGTCGAGACCGTAGGCAATAGCAGCAGCGGTCGGCTCGTTGATGATACGCAGAACATTCAAACCAGCGATGACACCAGCATCCTTTGTAGCTTGACGCTGAGAGTCATTGAAGTAAGCAGGGACAGTGACCACAGCGTTCTTGATAGTGGTGCCAAGGTAAGCTTCACTAATCTCACGCATCTTAATGAGAACCATGGAAGAGATTTCCTCAGCGGCGAATCGTTTCTCTTCTCCCTTGTAGGTGACTACAATCAATGGCTTGTCAGCAGTTCCAGAAGAGACGAGACCGAAAGGCCATAACCTCAAGTCGCTTTGGACAGTTGCGTCATTGTATCTACGACCAATCAACCTCTTTGCATCTGTCACAATTAGACAAATAGAACAAAACAAAATCAATAAACCGAAACATAAAACCAAAAATCAAAAGTTGGACATTACAAGACCAAATCATCAACTTAAACTTAGGTCAGAGAAGATAAAAACCCTAACTTTAACAAATTCACAGGAATAGTTCATAATCAGCCTACGGGTATTCGCAAAACAAGTAAGTAAAAAACGTTTGGGCGAGTAACATTATCCTATGTAAACCCTAAAAATTCGAACTTTAACAAATTCACAGGAATAGTTCATAATCATCCTACGGGTATTCGCAAAACAAGTAAGTAAAAAACGTTTGGGCGAGTAACATTATCCTATGTAAACCCTAAAAATTCGAACTTTAACTCAGATACGAAACACACATAGAATCAAGACCAGAGTGTAATAAGACGAGAGTTTACATACCAAAGACAGTGTTGGCTGGGTTCGCGGCGACCTGGTTCTTAGCAGCCTCACCGATCAGCCTCTCGGAGTCGGTGAAAGCAACGTACGATGGAGTGGTACGGTTACCCTGATCGTTAGCAATGATCTCGACACGGTCGTGTTGCCATACTCCAACACAAGAGTAGGTGGTACCAAGATCGATACCGATCGCAGGACCTTCACCTTTACCAGCCATTGTTATCGCAACAAAAGAGAGAGAACAAAAAAAAGCTTTTAGCTAAGAGACGAAAGATTCTTTAAGAGCAGAGAAGGGAACTAGGTTTTTTGTTTTGTGAAGAAAAGAGCATCGGAGCCTTGGATTATATAAGCTCAAGACTTGTGTTTCCAGAATGTTCGGGTGCTATGTTATTCAACGTTAGATTAGGTTGGATATCGATCCGACGGTCGTGAAGTGATGGTTACCTTTTTACAAATCTTAAGTCAGATATGTTCCGGGAATGAAAAGGAAAAAAGTGATACTGTCCAAAAACGGGAAAGCGCGTGTCTGAAATTGGAAAACTACTATAACGTTCATATGAAGATCGGCTTATCAGTCGCCACGTAAGATCTTGTGGCAGATTAACGGGCCTATAAGATATTTTATAGACGGGCCATTGTCTTGTGGGCCGTGGTGAGACCTCTCTTTTTCTGAGAACTCATAGAAAATTTATATATATTTAATATGTCTTTTTGAATTACCTCAATAATAAGAAGAAAAAAAAAATCATTTGATAAAAAAAGTTAAAAAAAACAACTTTTAAATTTAATGACAACAAATTACTTTCATAATATTTATATTCTTTTTTAATTCTTGTGAATTACGATATTTATACCAAAATTTAATTAAAACAATATTTATTTTAGCAAAAGTAATGTCAAAATTTTAGTCCAAATTAGAGGAAGTATTTATATATACAAGATAGTTTTTACTGTGACACAAGACATAACAACACATGTTTCCAACTCTTAAAAAACATTTCTTAACAAAATCTTACAAAGCCACCAATAAACATGCTCTTAGATTTGCTCATCCAACTTCAGATTTCATGATAGTTTTAATGGAATTCAGATCTGAAACTGTTGGATAAAATTGCAACTACACTATTTTCATGAACTTTGAATTTCTAACGTTTATGTATTTGTACAATAGTAATCATGAAACATTTCATATATTTCGTTCATTTATAAGTATTCGTAGCTGCTCTTTGTTTACCTCAATCCAAAAGTAATTTTCTTCACTCGTTAATAAAATTTCCTTGTTTGAGTACCCGACTTTCTCATATCCAAAAGGAGGAGAAAGAAAAAAAGGTCACTCTACTACCAGAGGAATCTTAAATAGGACAAAAAACCATGAATATAAAGTTGGAAAGTCATACGGAGTAGAGAATATAGAAAACTTCTGATATTATCCGTCATCGTAGCTGGAATAACCAGGCATTGTTCAAAAAAGCTAACCAAATAAAACACAAAATGGGCTCCTTCAAATAAGCCCGAGATTAAAAAAAAGTCTTAAACGATCCAAAGTAAAGATAGAGAGATAAAGAGAGAGAGGTCATGATCCAACAGATTAGTCGACCTCCTCGATCTTAGGTCCAGCACCGCCTGAAGCAGGAGGAGCATCATCGTCCATTCCACCAGCACCTGGTCCACCGGCCTCACCACCAGCTCCTTGGTACATCTTGGCGATGATTGGGTTGCAGATGCTCTCCAACTCCTTCATCTTGTCTTCAAACTCATCTGCCTCGGCCAACTGGTTACCCTCGAGCCACTGAATCGCCTGCTCAATAGAGTCCTCGATCTTCTTCTTGTCTGCTGCGGGAAGCTTCTCACCAATCTTCTCGTCCTGGATGGTGTTCCTCATGTTGTAAGCGTAGTTCTCAAGAGCGTTCTTGGCTTCAACCTTCTTCTTGTGCTCCTCATCCTCAGACTTGTACTTCTCTGCCTCTTGAACCATCTTCTCAATCTCATCCTTGGAGAGACGACCCTTGTCATTGGTGATGGTAATCTTGTTCTTCTGTCCGGTGGTCTTGTCCTCAGCAGAAACGTTGAGGATACCATTGGCGTCAATGTCAAAGCACACTGTGATCTGAGGCACACCACGTGGAGCCGGTGGGATTCCGGAGAGCTCAAATTTACCGAGAAGGTTGTTGTCCTTGGTTCTGGCTCTTTCTCCTTCGTACACCTGGATCAACACACCAGGCTGGTTGTCTGAGTAGGTAGAGAAGACCTGCTCCTTCTTGGTTGGGATTGTTGTGTTTCTTGGGATCAAAGTGGTCATGACACCACCGGCAGTTTCCAAACCAAGGGAGAGAGGAGTGACATCGAGCAACAGAAGATCTTGAACCTTCTCGTTTCCTTCACCACTGAGAATAGCTCCCTGGACGGCAGCACCATATGCAACAGCCTCATCGGGGTTTATAGACTTGCAAAGCTCTTTGCCGTTGAAGAAGTCCTGAAGCAATTGCTGAACCTTAGGGATACGGGTGGAACCACCAACAAGGACGACATCGTGAACAGTGCTCTTGTCCATCTTAGCATCACGGAGACACTTCTCAACTGGCTCCATACACTTCCTAAAGAGATCCATGTTAAGCTCCTCAAATCTAGCACGGGTGATGGTGGAGTAGAAGTCAATACCCTCGTATAGAGAGTCAATCTCGATGGTGGTCTGAGCAGTGGAGGAAAGAGTCCTCTTTGCTCTCTCACAGGCAGTTCTCAACCTCCTAAGAGCTCTTGGGTTACCAGTGATGTCCTTCTTGCTCTTCCTCTTGAACTCTTGGACGAAGTGGTTGACCATTCTGTTGTCGAAATCTTCCCCACCAAGATGGGTGTCACCAGCTGTTGCCTTGACCTCAAAGATACCCTCTTCAATGGTAAGAAGAGAGACATCAAAAGTACCACCACCAAGATCGAAGATAAGAACGTTCTTCTCTCCAACGCTTGTTGCCTTTTTGTCAAGACCGTAGGCAATAGCTGCGGCTGTGGGCTCATTGATGATTCTCATAACGTTCAAACCAGCAATAACTCCAGCATCCTTTGTGGCTTGACGCTGAGAGTCGTTGAAGTAGGCAGGAACAGTGACAACGGCGTTCTTGATAGAGACACCAAGGTAGGCCTCAGCGATCTCACGCATCTTAATAAGAACCATGGAAGAGATCTCCTCAGCAGCGAACTGTTTCTCTTCACCCTTGTAGTTGACGTAGATCATTGGCTTGTCGGCAGGTCCTGGAAGAATCTTGAATGGCCACAATTTCATGTCACTCTGGACAGAGCTGTCGCTGAAACGGCGACCGATCAACCTCTTAGCGTCTGCAAAACAAAAAGAAATCAAACAGATTAAGTATACAGACAAAAAAACAAATCTGAAACATAATTGAATCGTAATCAATACGCAACGAATAAAGATCTAACAAACCTAACAAATACAAAAATCAAAGGCTATAAATAGTAAGAGAATTTTTTTTGTAGAGCTCAACCAACTTAAACTATATAAACGAGATTCATGTGAAATAACTAACATAGACGATTGAGTTCCAGATCTACTAATAAAACCCTAAATCCAACATAAACAAACGTTCCTACATAATAGATCTTAATAAGATAAAACAATAGATCTAACTACGATGGAGAGATCTAGATTTTAAGAAAAAATAGAGCTAAGAGAACGAGATACGTACCGAAAACTGTGTTAACAGGGTTCATGGCGACCTGATTCTTAGCGGCATCACCGATCAACCTCTCGGAGTCGGTGAAAGCTACGTAAGATGGGGTGGTTCTGTTTCCTTGATCATTGGCAATGATCTCAACACGGTCGTGTTGCCATACTCCAACGCAAGAGTAAGTAGTACCTAGATCGATACCGATCGCGGGACCTTCACCTTTACCAGACATTCTTATCGGAAGATTTGAAAACTACAAGAGATCTAAGAACAGAGACTGAGAACAAAAAGAGAGAACGAAGACGACGATAGAGCGGCTAGGGTTTATTTTTAGTAAGAAGCAATGAAGCAGAGATTTGTTTATATAGAGTTTTGGGTTGAGGCTCGAGTTTGATCGGACGGTCAAAATTTGGCTATTGAGAGTTAAGATCTAAGGCGCCAGGCTGTTTAAAAAGTTTCGAGAATGTTCGATGGCTGTGAGGTAAAACCCTAATTTGTACACGTTGGCAATTTTTAGGACTTTAATTGGTTTGTGAGGCACCAATAGTGCAAGTAGTTTATTTCTCTCTCTTCCACGCGCAAGTTGGTTTACACATTCATCTTCCTAAATATGCGGATCATAATTTTCCTTCTTTGAATATGTTAATTAATCACAGTAGTTCGGTGGGATATTTCCTTATTTTTTGTTTACATCATTTTCCATTTCTTTTCTTAACAAAAAAAAAAAAAGCTTTCTTGTTAAATTTTTTAAAAATGTTAATATTCCAAAATAAATATCTTTTCAGAAGTTTCTATGACTATCTTATTATATAAACCTTGGTTTTCAAAGTTAGGCATTAAAAAGATCGTGACACGTGTCAATTATAAATTATAAGATATTGATACGTGTCGTAACTAATTTTGTTAATATTTGGATAAAATAGAAATATTATTAACCCTATCGAAAAAGAAAATATATCAAATAAATATTATAAAGAATTATATATTAAAAATTATTAATAAATTAAACAAATAACCTAATTTCAGTTATGTCAATTTGTTTTATTAATAAGATAGGGATTTAAAATTTATAATTAACAAGAATATACGGCGGTTTTTGTTTACATAAGAGGATTAAGGTTTCAACTTTAATTTTACAATTAAATCAGGTTATTTGTTGGTTTGGGTATATAAATGATAAATAAAAATTATGGTTTATCTTTATAAATTAAAATTATGGTTTAAGTTTAACAATTAAACGAGATTATATGTCGAAACTTGGTTTTTAAATTTACTAACTCACGTGATCATGATAAGTGTCAAGTAAAAACATAAGATGTCGCAACATTTTATATCTAATTTTGTTAATATTAAGATAAAAATAGAATTTTTAACAACATTAAAAAATAATTATAAAAAATTAAAGAGAATTTTTGAGAAATACCCCTTTTGTGTACCCTTTTTCAAAAATACCTCCTCTATCTATCCATTTTCAAAAATATCTATGTTTAAATATGAAAAATTATAAAGTTTTATATGGTTTATAAGGTACTTCTATATAAGAACTACTACTTGGAAGTTTGATACAAATATTTTATAATGTTTTAAAAGATTTTAAATCATTTTTACAAGTTTTAAAAGGTTTTTAAGTGGTTTTTAAAAGGGTTTATAAGGTAAAGGTTTTTAAAAGGTATTTATAAGTTATTTTATGCTATTTATGAAAGATATATAAAAATTTAAACATATATAAAGGTAATTTGTGTGTATATTTATAAGTTTACACACATATTTGGATAAATTTCAACATTTATTGTGGTTTTTTAAATAAATTTTGAAATAAGGGTATTTTTAAAAATTGGTATGGAAAAAGGTATTTTTTTATAAATTAAAAAGTAAAAAATTTGATATTTATAAAAAAAAAATGTGTAAGCTTATATATTTAGACACAAATTATCTTTCTATGTGTGTAAATTTTAAATACCATATATATACCTTTTAAAAACCTTTTAAAAATTATTTTAAAACATAGAAAAACTTTGTAAACCTTATAAAAAAACTTATAAAAGTCTTATAAATGCCGTTTAGAACCTTTTTAAAACTTTATAAATATTTGTATTGAGTCTCCCAATAGTAATGATGATCTAGATGTACCTTATAAACTATATAAAA